CACGAGCCGGTGATCCTTGTACATGGTATAGCGGATCGCGTTGACGAATTCCTCCCGATCCGACAGCACTTCCTCAGCCAAGGATACAGCGATGCGGAAGTGTATGGCACGACTTACGGCGACGCAGGCAGCGCTTATGGCAATGCGAGTATTTTTTTGGAAACAATGAAGTGTGATTACGTAAAGAAGGTTTGTTTCTGCATGGCATTGCGGATTTCTATGTTTAAGAAACTCTGTTTGTAGAAACGGCTCAGAGACTAGAGTACAATTCAAGGATGGATTTGAGCCATCTAGGAAAGCTAGCAGAAGAACCTAGGATTAGAAAGATGTGTCCTGTCCTTGATATAGTCCTGTCCAGGGCAGAGATTCGTATTTTGAGTGGCAGCAAAGCTTCCTGAAAGAGAATTTCAAAAATTGACTATGCCTGCAGGTCTAGTAAGCTTTGATGTTTCTAGGCGATCTGAGTGCAAGATAACTTGATTTCTCGTTATCTGGACCAGAATGACAACGTGTACTTGTTTGGCCTAGATCGGAAGGCATACCTTTAATTCATATCGCTCAAATGGATTGGTTTTGTTACGAAGCTATTCTAAAGATTTAAATTTTACAGATACGAGAGTTAATTCAAGCAGTAAGCGCCTACACATCATCCAAAGTTGATATCATTGCTTACTCGATGGGATCACCGATTGCAAGAAAGGTTTCTTGGAAGTGCAATTCGTAAAAATTTGATAATTTAGAAAGCTCTTGTTATCCGAATCAGTCGTTACTGGCAGCCGAAGAGAATAGAAAAGCTGTTTTGTTGTACAAAATAACGATAAAGAAAATTTTAACAGATACTTCTCGATTTGCTTATTTTCAAGAAAATCACGGTATTCTTGGCGTATCCGGCGCTATTGAATACTGAATTTTCATTAGCTAACTCTAGAGCTATTAGTGAATCAGTTAACATTGCAATAATAAAACTAAAGTTTAGCAGGAAAGAGTTGCCCTAAGCATAATTTGTAAGGATAGTCCTTTGCGGCAGCTAGCTGTTTGTCGGGCAATTCCAGTTTTCCAGTTCGTATCCAGTTTTAAGAGCCTTGAGCCGCTTTTCGGACAAGAATATCGTATAGGAACCGAATTAAGCTAAAAATGTAAAAATA